GCGAAAATAGCGTTTCTTGAGGGACGAAATCGTGATCCGCGCGCGGCGGATCTGTCGATTACATTTAACGTCTATCCGCAGCTATTAAATAACCGTATCGTAATCAGCGGGATCGAGACATCGGCGATCCTGTTCTCTAAATTCTTCAAAGTAAAATCTCACTCGAAAAGAATGAAAGATCTTTTTCAAGAGTGGCAGAATTTTAACTTCCCCCCCTTTTTTTTTCGAGTGATTTCATGTCTTTTTCAAGAGTGGCAAAATTTTCACCCTTCTGGAGTGAGATTTCACCCCAAAGAATTTAGAGAGCGATCATTAGCGTGCTCCGCGCCGATCGTCGCGGGGTCTCGCGGCACTGTAAATTTACTACGTGCGATCGTACAGTTCCGGAGTACAGTACGACGCTTCGTTGTCTTGCTCGGATGTGAGACGTCCCTGTCTCGTCGTATTCTCGGCGGACGTACGAGACGTCGCGACGTGCGATGTGATTGCAATCAAGTCGGCGATTTACGCCGCTGACCGAATGTAATTTGGACCGGACGCGCGTCTCATTATTATGTGAGCACGAGATGTTGTTTCTTCTGCGTTTACCGCGCGGCTTGCGGACTCTCCCCGCTTCACTCGTCCCACGTACGTGTGCACGCTCAGGAAGGCACGTCTGTGCGTCCGAGTTGAAAGACAACACACACACACACACACACACACACACACACACATACACACACATTACACTTACGCATACACACACATACACACACACACAAAGATAGATCAGAGAATATTATCATATATATATTACATATTATATATATATAAATATGTTACACGCGAAGAAGGGAATTACAAGTATGTGTGCGTACCTCGTCTCGCGACTGTCTTGCGCTGCCGACGCTTTCGCATTTCAATATTCGCGAGGGGATTGTTGCGATCTTGGGGATGATTCGTCGCGAGTTCGCACGACGGTTCTTTTTAACAGTTACAGATAGATTGTGATAAATCGGGGGCGATTCGTCACGATGGATCACCGGAATGTGAAATGCGTCGGAGCGCAATCGCGAGTGCATAAAAGCGAGCCGAGTGAGTGAGAGAGAGAGAGAGAGAGAGCGGTCTTTCGACCGCCCTTAATTTCTTCCAATCTTTGTTTTCCCCTGCTATCCTTCTATCTTCCCCCTTGCTCTCCTTATCGTTAATGTTCCTCTAGCTCGAAGTCTTACCGATATAAATTCGAACGATTGTTCCCTGATTACCTCAAGTCCTTTTTGAGGGCTGTGCACAATCAAAAGAATAGGGAACAGGAAACAGAAATAAGAATGTCAATCTATCAGAAATCATGTTATAATTTCTGATAGATTGAAATTCTTATTCTCTGTTCCCTATTCCTTTGATTGCGCGCAGCCCCTTACTTGTGTCATCCTTGTGGCATCATTTCGCGACATCGGGATTATCTCTCTAGGTTGGCTCCTGCGCGCGCCAATTGAGTCGCGAACTGATCTCTTTTTTTCTTTTTTTTTTCCCTCGGCCGTGCGCGCGACCGAAGCCCCGTTTCCTTACGTTCTCGTTACTCTTCTCGTTAGATTCTCCTTTCAGTTCTCCCTTCTATTTCATTCTATTTTATTTTTACCCTTTTTCCCCTCTTCAGCGCGTTTTGCTCCCGTGCGCGGCCTCGGTCGCGTCGCGATCAACTACGTGACGAACTATGAAATCGTGTACAGTCGACGTAACGACTTCGAGGACGGCGTTTCCTCGATCTCGCGAACCTCACCTCCCGGCGCCCCGATCTGATCCATTCGGGAAATCGTCGATCTGTCTCGTGGACGAGAAACAGACGTCCGCAGCGCGGGCGAGACTCTCGGGAGTTTACCGAGTACGATTCGGGGCACCGGCAAGAAGAACTGGGGATACTTCCTGCGGCGATAGAATTCGGACGATGATAATGATAATAGTGATAACTGCGGCGCCGGGAACGTCCACGATCGTCGTTACGTCGACTTGAAACGATGGCGCGGAAACGCGCGTTCGTTCTGTTTCTCTTGTCTCGAATGTGAGCGATAAAGAAAGAAAGAGAGAGAGAGAGAGAGAGAGAGAGATTGATTTAAAAAGAAAAAAAAGGAAGAAACGAAAAAGCCTTTTTTCTCGGCCGATCGTGAACGGCCGAACGTGGAGGAGGAGAAAGATTGATTATATGCTAAAGAGTAAGCGATGCGCAATTTAACTATAACGAATTGATGTAAGCGAATGGAAAAAAATCAATACTTTTCATTGAGATGATATCTGGATTTCAATAAACTTGATACCTCGAAACCAGCAGGACAATCGACCCGGAGAGCGAGCGGTGTTACCGGTACCGCAGCGGTGAAAACCAAAAATCTTTTCACCAGCGTTACCGGTTACTCTCTTTCTCGATGGGTCTTCTTATTTCTTCTTACTTTTTACTTCTTCTCACTGTCTTCCAACCGCAGTTCCGTTTATCCACTGATTACTTTTAAGAGACGCGCGTTTACTCGTTTTTACTCCCGACTGTGCCAAGCAAAGGTTGTACAATTTTTATGATCGATATAAGATAAATGTCCCAATGATTGAATATGTAGCTATGTTCGTATACTTAGATAAAATTTATTATTCTCAAATGTTTTTTTATTACATTATTATAATTTAATTGTATTTAAGAAGATTACAATTAAATTATAATATTATATTATATTTAAAAAAACATTTGAGATTAATAATAATATATAAACAAATATAAAATTTTATGTAAATATCCGGATACACTCTAAATTTTTGGGAGTGAAATTTTCACTCTTAGAGAGAAATTTCAAGCGATTAATTTTCAATCTCTGCGAAGAATGAATAAATAATTTCGCTCTCCGAAAGCAGAGACTGAAGGTAAATGTTTTATAAGTTTATCCCTCCTATATCCAATGTTGACGAAATTAGTTTCATTTGACGTGTTTTTGCACAAAACAAACGAATATGGCGGAGAAAAGCGTCGCTCTGCCTCGCGAAGCGAGATATTAATAATTAAAGTTGATCTTTTAGGAAGTCTTCTTGAAGAAGCGAAGTGAAATTCACTCTTGTCAGATTGGCGCAACTTCTATCACTTCTCTTGGAGTGAAATTTCACTCCTAAAAATTTAGAGTAATAGTTACATGTTAGATCATAGGGACGTTTACCTTATTACCAAAACTTTTGCTGGTCTCGCGCATTTTTCTAGATCAAGACGACGATCGAGAGTACGGACTTGTTATGTAAATCGTTGTACAAGTAAGTATTATATTCGTATAATTGTGCTCGAAGTGCGTATCAAGTCCGAGTGCGTCGACATTTAAAAAACATCGCCGTTTCGTACAACTTCGAGGCAGCACGCAGCAGCAGCAGCAGCATAAAAGAGATTTATCAAGAGGCCAATCAAACTGATAGAAAAAAGGAAAAATAGTATTTTCGAAAGAAATGTGTGTGTGAAGGGAGAGAAAGCGAAAGAAAAGATAATAGTCACGAGACAACCATCACTCACCAGCTGAACGTATATAAAAGTTTAAATATGAATATGTGTGAATAAATATATATCCTTATATATATTACGTAATATATGTATATAAGGATATACAGAGTGTCCCGACCTTTTTTGCCAATCACTTTTGTGTAGATAGAGTGGACTAAACTGAATCGAAAAAAGTCCTCTACCATTTTGCAATTTTTGCAATAGTTAACAAGATTAATTACTAAAAATTGCAAAATATTGGTCTTGAATAATTTTTTACTCAAATACTATCAACTTTACAGAAAAACTGCAAGAGACAAAAATTATTTATTTTCTTCTCATAAAGTTCTGAGAATTTTTTCAGAATTTTTTATCAACTTTTTAGTACTGCATTTTCTTATTTTTAACAACATGAGGAAATATGGTATTAAAAAATTCTGAAAAAATTCTCAAAACTTTATGAGTAGAAAATAAATAATTTTTGTCTCTAGCAGTTTTTCTGTAAAGTTGATAGTATTTGAGTAAAAAATTATTCAAAATCAATATTTTGCAATTTTTAGTAATTAATATCTTGTTAACTATTGCGAAAATTGCAAAATGGTAGAGAACTTTTCGACTCAGTTTAATCCGTTCTATCTACACAAAAGTGATTGGCAAAAAAGGTCGAGACACCCTGTATATTTTATCTTTTTTTTTATTTGCATTAGGGCGATTACCGTGATTTTGCAAGACAGAGATGAGAAACGTGGATTGACTATAAGTAACTATTAATACATAAAATGGATTGTCGATTGATATCACGAAGAAGAGTACTGTAAGCGTTTCTATTATCGGATACAAATGCGTCAAGAAAAAAAATGTTATTGCGTGGGAATAAAAACTTGATGTGACGGCGAGTCAGCTGGATAAATAAATAGCTTGTGGATGTAAGTAAGTAAAGATACACGAAACGAGAAATTCGAAGTCTAAAACCAAGGTTGGAAGAAAGACACAAAACCGAGACAACATTCAATGAAGATCTGCTTGAAAATGATACATGACCTCAAGGACGTTTGGAAAGAGACGTCGATTGTGAAAGCTGTGTTTGAGCTGTGTGTTGCCCGGAGCTTTCTCGGAACGTACGCGCGTGAAACGCGGGATATACGAAATTCAAAGAGTAATTGAAAACAGTTACGATTGTGATTGCAAAGAAAATTGAGACATGTAAATTTCAACTCGGCTATTCTCATTTCGATTTCACAAGGTATTATTACAAAACTAAATACATTATTTCTCTGGACAATATCTGAATGATAGACAGATTACCAAGATCGTAATCAACACGTAATCTGATACTGTATAAAATGTGTACATATACTTGGATCTACAGAAAGAGAGAAAAAGCGCGCGAAAGAAAGGGAGAAACAGATAGAGAGAGAGGAAGCTGATTACGTAATAATAACCGTCATCCAGTGACATCGAATATTCGAAATTTTTAAATTATTTATATGTATTTTGATCATTTTTTGTATGTTCCTTTCAGAATCCGATAACGAAAGTGCACCGTCGCCGGTAAAATCGCAGCCCAAGGTGCCCTACTGCAAGACCTACGAACAGATGAGACTTGAAGAGATCCAGGCAGAGAGTGCGGCTTATTACTCCTATGAGGCCAGCAACTATGGTCTTCATCAGAGACAAATGAGCAAGACAATCGGGACTAAGCGATGGATCAGAACATCGAAGACGAAGAAAGAAGAATTGTCAAAAGAATTGAACTTCAAGATATTGTCCTTGGAGGAGATTCGACAACGAAAGAGGGAAAGAGCTGTTAAAACACCGACGGATACAACATCTGTGTCGGAGCCTTCGTCGCCAATCGAAGCAAAGGGCATGAAAAGGCGTTCGATCGAAGAGCAATGCGACAAAGAAAGCGCCAATTCTGCGAAGAAGTGCAAGATTAGTTCTGAATTCGCTAAGAGTAGCGAACCTGCTGTCGCCGTCAAGGTGCAACCGATAAAATTGCGAAGATTCTTGAAAATGGAAACACAAATACAACCATGTGAAATGCAAATACAAACCGAAATACAACCATGCGAAGACGTAACTATAAATGAACGTTTGGCGACGGACAGTCAAGACAATCAAACTTCTTGCTGCGAAGAAAAGCAGGAGAGTCACAGCAACGAGACGTCCTACAGCGAGAGGCTAGAAAACTATGTCGATGAGTTGGTTAATAGGAAAGTTGACGTAGAGATTAGATTGTGCGATAGCAGCACGAATGAAGAGAAAACTCAAGTGCAACCAGAACAAGCGTCAGGTGATAAATCATCGGTTGCCACATATACTGAAGATGAAACCTCGTTATTAGCAGACCAACCGTATGATCAACAGTATACGCAGACCGATGAGGAGTACCTTCGACTGGATACATCAGCTGACGATATTATGCGAGATATTGAGGACTTGCTCAATTAGAGAAGCGTGATTCGAGTGATTTTAAGTAAACCCAGTGTGCATTTCTTTTTTTTCATAAAATTTAAAAAAATCTTAACATAAAAATAATTTATATATTTAAGTCTTTGTACAAATACAGATTATACAAAATTTACTCATCGCGCGAGAAATAGTATAATTACTATCTGTAAACGATTATTTAATCAATTCTTATATTCAAGTTCTATTCTTACGCTTTAACTTCAGCAGATCATGTTATATAATATTATATAACTTTTATCACAAATCAAAATTGTGCAATGAATTTCAGTATTTACATTTAATCTGAAATTTCTTCGTTCGTGATGTAAGATATCTAGTGGACCAATCAAAAATTGGTTCCAAATTCTGTAAGCCAATATAAAACCGCTATTAGAAATTTGCCACCAATCAGAAATAAGCCCAAATTATATTTAGTCGCCATTAGTGCACAGTGGCATACTTTGTATTGTTACATCATGCTTTTATCTATCATTTTTGTATTCTTTTTTTTATCTTAATTATTTAGAACGTGCGAAAGATTGCAATAATAAATTATCATAAGTAAAAATTTATGTCATTCTATATGAATAAAGACGATTCTAGACGATATGGTCAATATACGCCAATGTATTCCACATTAGTAAATATTACACACACACACACACACACACACGCCCGCATAATTATAGACATGAATGCAAGCCAATATTTAACGAATGTGTGTGAAGTTAGCGTATATTGGCCATGTCGTCTGGAGTCGCCTTAATCAAAATAAAATTTAATGACTGATATGGATATTGTTGCTGTGTTACGTGTTCTGAGAATAAAATATGTGCATTGGTGTATATATATAAGCTTCTTTTAAATACTTTTATATATAACATAATCAAAGAGCAGCGTAAACTCGTTTCGATATTTACACTCGACATCATTTATGCCTCTGCATATGAAAATTTAAGCCGAATTGAATACGTATATATTGTATATACGTCGTATATATTGTACATATATGTATATATTTTTCGAATGCTAAAAGCGTTTCTTGTTCTTATCAAATTGCAATAATTATAATAATGTTATATACATATTATATAATTTAAATGTAATATATATAATATGTATACACTATGTGTATAATGTTATATTTACATAATCATATAATATACATATATTATAGTATATGTAATATTATAATTATTGCAATTTGATATTATATAATGTATGTATATAAGCTATAATAATTATAACTTATATTCTTTCGTTTTTTAATCTTATCAAATTGTAATAATTGTAATAAAAGTATACATATTATATAATATAAATGTAATGTATATAATATGTATTTACTATGTGTGTGTATAATGTATATAATGTATAATCTATATAATGTATATTATAATATGTGTAATATTATAATTATTACAATTCGATATTATATAACATACATAAGTTATAATAATTATAACTTATATAATTATAATCCGAAACATAATTATGATATTGTTGTATAATAATTATGTAAATGACATAACAATACATGTTACATAGAATTGTATAATAATATTATATATGTGTACTGTTGCAATTTGTAATATTAATATTATTCGCTGGCTTAACCCTTGGATTACTTCTGCTACTTGATGTTCTGACTAAAGACGATTTTGTAAACAGATACAGAGAAATTAACACATTAATTGTAACCAATTTTGTCGTTTAGCGTTTATTCAAACTTATTCTTAAATGTTGTTTCAGAAGAAATCCAGGGTTAAACGCAGATCGCAATAGATTTCTAGTGAGGATTTAGAGAATACAACACGTCATCGAGTGTAAATTAATTATTAAGTTGAAAGAAATATACAATTGTTACATTTTCAAGATAAAATAATGGTCTCTTCTTTTGCGTGCAACTCGCTTACCATTATTTTCTACAAATGATGCGATTGATCGAACGACGATGCGGGATGAGGGATAAGTACAAATATGAGTTATCGGATCGAGACAGAGAAAGAGATGAACATGTTTCGGGAAGGAGTTGCGCTTGATTTCTAATAGGAAACTGCACATGATTGTTACTTTCGTTTGCCTAACAAATTGATATTAGACGCGCGGGTGTGGCTGACTCGATCATCTTTGTATAATCAAAATTCAATATTTATAACGGAACAGCGATTACCACACGCCGGAGTTTCGCAAATAAATTCTCCAATTAGAAAACAAGCATTGAGAGCACTCTCGATTAAATGCACACACTATTTATTTAGAGAACGTATAATTGTATTTAAAGGGATGCTGGAATTACCCCGACGGAACGCATATTCGTACTTTTCCAATCATTTCGTTTTTTTATACATATATGTAGAATAAACAAATCTTTTCCTAAAATAAAAGAAAATTCTCGAATAACAATACAAAAAAAAACCAATACAATAAAAAGAATAATTTTATAGAAAGAATCTATCCATAAAAAATTATAAAATTTATAAAAATTATAAAAATTATAAAAATTATAAAAATTGGACTAAATGTTTTTTCATTTATTAGTGGACTAGGCCTACTGGGGATACCACTTAAAAAAAAAACGCGTCAACAATAGTACCTCTAGGGTGACGAGGAAATCTATTGAAAACCAATGTTTATGAACGTTATACGCGTAGCACATTTCGACTGTATATAAGACAATGAGATAAAAGAAATAGCGATAGCCGAAGTTAAGTCGAAAATCGACCAAAAAAGAACTGTTACTAAATACTATTATTATTAAAATATTAACAAAGAAGTAGTTAATTTAATATTTAAAATGATCTTTGTGCAGTTTATTGATATTAATATAATGCACCTTTTTATGTTCTTCAGATGTCATTATTATCATTATTATTTTGATTCTAAAATATATAATTTGTTTTGTTCTCTTCTTTTGAATTAATCAAATTAAAATTCTAAAATACATCTTCATGTTTATTCTCACAAAATTTAAAAATACTGAAATTTATTTCCCTAATAATTATTAAAAAAAAGCTATTACTATAATAACTGTGTTCTAAAATTCATTATTGAAAAAGTCGTATTCGAAATAATGCTTAATAAATAAAATAAATGAAAGACATGAAAGGCGCGCGCACTGCCCAGTGAGAAATGACAATGATTTGATGATTTCGGCGTCGAATCGACATCGATGCGATGTCGATTCCATTATCATTTTTCACTGAGTGCGTGCTAGTAAAAGAAAAAACGCAAATAGTTGTAGGAAAGTACAAACTTGTACGAAAAATTTTTTTAAATGAAGTAAAAAATAGTACATTACAGTTTCTTGGTATACTACACAGGTTATCTATTCATTACCAAAGTAGCACAATCGTTTTATCTGAACCGAAATACAACTTTCCTATTGGTTATTTCGATCGCTATTTTAGACCTAGTGACCTTTAGATCAATAAGCGCTTAGTATTATTGGTATATGAGGTTAGTAAGTCGAATGGAGGACCTTTGCGCTACTTCGGTATATCTAGAACTTTAATATATATATATATATATATATATAATCTAAATAAAAAATACTTTCCTATAGTTGAATGATGTATAAAAATATAAGGGGTCCTTAATTTATGATTTTGAAACGTACAAGAGAAATGATTGGAAAAGTAGGAGCTGAGTGTACATAATCTAACCTAGCATTCATGCTATATATAGAATATATCAGAGTAAGAAATGTACGTACCTATATATAATGTTTTACTTAATGATTTACTTAATGTACGTAATGTTTTATTTAATGTAGGTAATGTTTTCTTAATGTACATACGTAATGTTTTATTTGGAATTAAAAATCTGTTTTATCGACATCGATCAAGTTTGGCCGTCGCTCTAGGTGCTCCAGCATCTCCTTAATCTGACCTAAGAGAAATCACAATTGGCATGTTCGGGCCTTCTTTCTTTTTTTTTTCTTGAACCTTGCACCGAATATAAATTACGAATTGGTTTTATCAATTTATTAGAGAATTAGAGTCAATTATATATATAAAACAATTATATATGTAATTATAAAATAATTATACATATAATTATTATATATAAGTAATTATACATATATATATATGTGTACATATACATATACATATGTTATATATACATATAATGTATATATAAACGAATATTCTCCGTACACGATGTACACACAAGAAACTCATGTTTATTATCTCTTGGCATTCTTGTTTCACGAGTATAAATAATAACACAATATCGACTTAAAAACTATTTTATTTCTTCTCTTCCTGCTTATAGGAGTTACACCTACGAAACGTTGCGAATAAAAACTCTCCGCGGAAATCCTCGGGAGCGATTCTTTTCCTCTTAAATCTTCGCGCTAATTATTTTTACACGAGTTGCACATTGCCGACGATTCGTATTCTTTTTCTTTCTTTTTTTATTCTACCGCGTCTCACCTTGTTCATCAGTTCTATTTCAAAGATATCTCGGCTCAGAGATATAATTGTACGAATTAAAAGCGAGCTTACAAAGGTGTACATATGCAGATGATGCTTTGAGAGATTTTTCCACCTTGCCGATCATTCATGTATTATGTCATATGAAAATCACGGATTGTCACAGATAGGCGTATTAATACGTCTAACAACGATTGTGTGTTTCTATGACTTATATTCTGGTATAACATCGAAATAAAGAGGAGAGTGTCTCTTCGCACATTACGATACCAAACACCGTTAGTGAAAGTGTAGGAAAGCAGCATTAGTCATTCGCCTATGATAACAATGAAGGACATGATCGATAAGTACCGCAATAGCAAATGTAGATATCGATTTTATTCAGTATGGGATACGGAAATTCGATTTGACGGCGATAAAACACGATTATACACAGAGGTCAATTAATCCGCCTGTAAACTCAATGCCGCATCTCCCAGCAAACGAGAACGGATTGAATTGGATAAATATGTATGAATCAAGTTTTCGAATTCGCATTATCCACGAAAAAGATATTGAGTTTTGTAAAAATTGAATACACTGAATCCGTTTCTATACGTCTAGATAAATATAACAATGTGAACTCTAGTGGATTCACATGGATTCAGAAATGAAATGCTAGTCTCACGATCTCAGAAAGTGATTTATCGTTGGAAAGCATGCACCAAGGTGATCACAGATATATGAATCGTTTCTTCCTGAATGAGCTCTAGTACTATACACAGGTATAAAACATTACGGATTCATAGCAACAAGGCGACTCCCGGATATAACCTGCACTATCGTGGCTTATGTCTAGAAATTACCTTGTCACTGTGGATCCGCAGTGTTACACTGTATATCACACCGGGGTTTTTGTTTGAGAGGCAACGACTTATGTATATCACCTCTATGCGAGTTTTTCAACGATATCGCTTGCCAAGATCAGTGATTAGCAGTGGGTCTCTCATATTAGACGATTTTTTAACCGTACGTTAAATTCAAATGAATTAGTCGTACGTTCATTGCGTTGAACATTGGATAAAATATTAAAAGTAAATTACCAATACGTAATTACTGATTCAATCAGATTATGGATAGAAAATAGATTTAAAAAATTCAAAAACTTGATTCGACATTACTGCAATGAATAATTTTCAACCTTTTTCAATAATTTCTCATTTGCTGGGCTTGTATTGTAATTACACGAGTACTACACCGTAGATTTGTTGTTAGTTTACACAAACGGAGTCACGCTAGAGCCATTCAGTAATGAATCTAGTTCCTCGCCCTCACCGGAGGTTACAGAATAAACTGAGATCTTTGTGCTTCGGATGATCTTCATTAGTAAGCGCCAGCGAATTCGCAGTGACGTTTCCTCGAAATTTTCCGAAATAATGCACTCGTCTGACAAATAATAAAATAAAATAAAATATAAAACGAGAATAGAGCGGACGCGAATACGGACAGATCAAACTCGTTTCCACATGGAACTTTGGCTTGAACGAGACGTACGGGTATGATAGCCCACTTCGATTTATTTTATATTATACTACGGAACAGTCGCACGCATGATCGACCATAACACGTGGATTTCCGGAGACTTGACGCTTCACGATCGCGTGACCGTGTGTCATTTTCTCGTGCGCGACACGGTAAGCTAGAAAGATGAAGAAGCTCAAGTCTACGGAGATGAGGTCGACATCGACGACCACCACGGTCACTGCAGCCTCGGTGACCAATATTGCGCCGCCATGTCGGGTGCCGGTTGACCTGGTACCGCGATCGGCACACTCACGCCAGGTGATATTAGACCTGCAAGAGAATCCATAGTGTTCTGTTTAATTTTATATAAAATTTCATGTAAGAATTAAAAGTTTAAAAAAAATTAACTTCGTAGTTGATTTAGTTTTTAATATAACACACACACACACATATATATATATATATATATATATATATGTTACTATAGATGTAACAAAAAGTGAATGATAGTTACAAACATTTTCATACAAATTTCGATTTATTTTTTTGTATATGTATGATTGTCCTTTTTTCGTATCTATTAGAATATTGTTTCATCACTTCATTATTTCATTGTCATATTAAATGTCATGCCGGTCATCAACGATCGGTGCTACTAAACAAAAATAAATAAAAATCGTAAAAAACATTTATAATTCTGCAAATATAATTAAAAAACTGAAGTAATTATCTAAAATAATAATGTGTGCATAATTTAGTATAATTCAATTATATTATATTATATATAATATATATTATTAAAGTGTGATTATCTTTGTAATAAAAATATCACTCTACATTGCTGGAGATAAAAGAAAGTATTAAGCATTTAACGTGTTAAGAGATAAATAGATAATAATACAAAAGTAAAAGCGTTTGTATCAAAATCTCGATTTTTTTCGTTAAGTACCATGTGTATGTAAAGTATATTAGTTTCTTTCTCGTAATTATTTCACTATTTCAATATCTTTAAGAGATGTATAAATAATAACACAAAAGACGAGAGACTAAAAGAAACAGTATAGTAATAGCAAATTGAACAAAATGTTCACAAAATACGCACAACACCTTGATAATATGAATTGCACATCGATATTAACATTTACAATCAGTTAATTACCGAATAGAAACAACGAGCGCTCAAGCCGCTGATGTATGCGATGCAGGTAATGTATGGACATGAAGCTAGATCACATTTGTACTGGATGTTCAAGTAAGGAACAAAAAGGAAAGATCGGAACGATCGAAACCGTTCGATCAGGGATGAGACATTTGGAGTGGCGAAGGAGTGACAGAAGCGTGTATAATCCATTACCGGCGGGCTCGATAGCGTGTTATCCATGGTAGCCGTAGTAGTAGTCCATCGGCTAGAGTGCAAGCAGCGAATGCAGTGAGTGCGGTAGACACTCACCGGTCGAGCTGGCGTTTTGATTGTACTGATTGAGGCTCGCCGCGTGATAGGGCTGCGTAGGGCTGCAGGTTGGCCTGGCGCCGTAACCAAGGTGAAGGGGCTCGTAGCTCGGTGGTCTCGCGACTCCGCACGAATAGCCGTTATCCCGTTGTTGGAGGCACGCGCCAGGGCTCGGTCCGACGGTCATACCCACGGTCATACCCATCGGGCTCATGCCACCCCCGGTGGATAGGGAGGACATGCTACTCGTCGTGTGCTGATTCTGTTGGCTGGCGCCCGACATCGTGAAACTCGGCATCGACGTCATCGGGCTGTCAAGGGAAACAATCTTATAATTGTTGCATTGACATGATCCTAGCCTTATTTTTCTTCCTCTGTCAAAAATAATTCTTTACGAAGCGCAAAAAAGAACAACACGTTCGCTCGAACCGATATGTCTTGATGATGGGACCATTTTAGTATCACGTAGTGCGCTGTTCATTTTTCATTCTTAAACAATTCCAGTTATAACAAGTGTTATGTTGTATTGTTTATAAATCCTAATTTATAAAAAATCGTTGCTCATTACTTTTGGAATAACTCTCGCACATTTCATTAATAAGTCTATTCTCTCTCTCTCTACATTATTATTTTTTATTTTATTCTACCATATTTACTACAAATAGTTAACATTATTGTTTTCTTAGTTCACGCAACATATTTATTTTTCTTACTTCCTTTGTACTTTATGATAGTTCATGTGTTACGTTTCTTCAATTTTTTAATTACTGTTATTATTATTATTTTTCTAATTGTAAGTATGAGAGTTTTCTTTTATTACGTCAAAACGAATTATACAGAGTTTGAATTACTAAATACTATGTGTAATTCACTTAAATAAAATAGATTGAATCATAAAAGTAACCATCAGACAATTGATAGCAGAGCCAAGTACTGGATCAGTATCCCCATCTCGAATAGTTCAGGGAAAACTTTCAAAAGATGAACATCAAGCTTTTGCGTTCTCACCTGTATGAATCAGGCATGCTGGGTATTCCGGGGTACACAGCGGTGGGCGCAAACCCATGATGTATTCTAGGGGGTGAGGGTGGTGCCTGTGGAGGCGGCTGGCCCCCGAGTATCCCCGAGGGTGGCGGCGGCGTCGGATGGCCAGCACCCACTAGACTCACGCCGGCAGTGTGTTGCTGTTGCTGTTGTTGCTGTTGCTGCTGCTGCGGTGGCGGTGGTGGATTATCCCTCCGTTGCGTGCGCAATTTCTCCTCGCGCCGCCACTTGGCCCGCCGATTCGAAAACCAGACCTGAGTTAGTGAACGAGAAGACAGACGAAGATACAGGTCAATCGCTAGGCTACGGATAACTTTCGTATCGGCTAACAGTCGTGGATAAAACGGTTCGTTGCGAAAACGCGTTACTCCCTGCGAAGATCTTTTAATCATATAATGTGACGACTCTATGTTAATTAAGAACATCACCGAGCTTCGTAAGCTTTGATCTTGGTGGTCGTGATAAAATGACCTGTATATACGCGTGGAACGATATAGAATCAAATGTCGACGCTGGTTTCAATAAGAATGATAAGAAATCGACATTGGTTAGAAATATATAAATTAAAATAATAAAATTACAGTTACAAAAAATACCGCTTTTCTTCAGAAGCTGTCAATCGCTGTTCTTACATAGCTATAATTACAAGTTGTAATTAGCAGTTTTAAGAATTAAAAATACATAGTGGATTTTTATACCGAATTGAAACAAATAACGGAATACTTATAAATTGTTGGTGAAATATCTAAAAAATTCACTATGTCTTTAAAAACGATGATTAATTTGACGTTTAGAATAATTGAAACCTTCGCATAATTAGGCTAAAATCTTTTAATAATAAAATTCATACTTAGTTATAATATTTCAATAAATGGTCTTTAACTTGAAAATCATTGAACGGGTATGATCTTTGTTTTTTTTTTATAGCTTGATATATTTTATAATAATTACTAATTTTCTTGTAAATTATCAGACCGTTCTCGTTATTTATTCGATAGTTTCGATCCTACACTCAGAGAAAATAAAATATAATTTTGGTAATAATAATATAATACCTCTATAATGTAACCCACCAGCAATGTGCTATCCTTTTAAAGTACATTCGATTTTTTATTGTGAATTTTAAGAAAATAGATCGCGTAAGATTTTGTGCAAATAAAAAATTTGATTTTTTTGTGTTTCACATCTTTTTGATGTTAATTTTAATGAGCATATAAAGATTCATAAACAAAATAAGTAAAATACAATCCGGATTCCAGTAAGGTAAAAATTTGTTGTCATTGGTTCACAAATATACAAGAATGTTTTCAGATTTTTATATAGTCTGGAACAATAAAAAATCTGCTGTGAATCTCAATGTCCTATTTTAGAATTTAGATTGAAAATTTCACATTGTTGATAAAGAGTCAAGGGGATGCTGGATCTGAAGCGAATTATCAACATTTACATTTTGCTTGGCTATTTGCAAATTACCTTTACAGAATTGTAAAAATCTTATACATATACAATAAAAGTAGACATGTTAAAAAATAGTGAGAACTCACGATTTTATGCTAAGAATAAATATAAAAAAATTTACGTTTAATATTATTTACATTTAATATTATTTGCACCGTACTAATACGTACAGATGTCAACTCTCACAACAATGTTTGATTAGTAAAAAATTCTCTAATTGTAAGTCATATGTGTGAAACGAAATAATGCCACTATGCGGAATACATGAAAGAAAAACACTGTATTAATAAAATTAAGATTAAAAGCCTATAAAAAAAGAATTTAGGTTGAAATGTTTTCATGCACATGTGCACGTGAAATATAAGTGCAGAGCAGTAATTGTGTCTAATAGTAGTCTAATAGGTGCTCGATCTTGCAAGAGATGGCGCTAGAATATGTTAAATTTAAATCAGAACAGATGTACATACGCATTTGAGTGAGATATAGAATGATAAGGCAAGAAAATGAGTTTAAAATTTCGCTATTATCGACATTTTTTATTTGGAATTAAAAAGTCTGTATTATTGACATTAATCAAATTTGGCCGTCGCTCCAGCATCCCCGCAATTAGGTTTATAAAAGCATGAGAACGAAAGTAAAGTATTAAAAATTGTCAAAATATAATCATGGCAGCTAATGTTAGGTGGAGCACCAACGTTGGATATTAACGTTGGATACCATTTCATTAGTTGTTATACGTAACTATTAAATAGTACTGAAATAGCAAAATTATATATAATATATAATTATAATATATAGACTTCTCATGCAGTAGATTAGCATAAATGTATTCTTTCGGTTTAAACTTTAAACAAATAATTTTCTTTTACTTTTAAGTCATTATGCCGTAATGACATCCTATACATGCAACAATAATATTTTTTATTAATCAAATTATTTTACGTTACCACTTTTTTCGTACTCTAGTCTCATCGTACTTGCTACAAACGATTAATGTTACTATACTTCTTCATTAATGACATCCTATGACAGACTTTTATATTAATAATATTTCGTAAATATATTTTATTTATTAATAGATTATTATATGATTGTTTTCTCATACTCTCCATTCTCATTGTATTTATTATAATTATATGTATTACAAACATTATTGTATGTTTTCTTATTACAGTGATGACACTCTTTTTATATCAATACGATTTTTTCTCAATTAAATTATTTTTCATTATTGTCTTCTCAAATTATTATTTATATTTATCACAAATAATTACTGTTTTCTCACTTTATATAATTTTTTTATGTTTTTTATTACAATTTCATAATAAAATACTATTTCTTTGTAATTTAGTTAGGCCCAGTTTCACAACTCATTTAACCGAGGTTCAACTTGTTTCTCACATTTTTCCAATTCTAAAATTAAAAAGAGTCAATGAATAAGTTGAACCTCGGTTATGAGTTAACTGTCAGTTGAGGAACTGGGCCTTTACTGATACTATTTCTTTCTCTGAAAGAATACACATCTGTTTCTAAGACTCGTTTCCACAATATATGATTACCTACAGATTAAAGGTACCAAGATATTCATGAATAAATTTCATTGATGAATCTGTTGATAACCTTTAATCTTTGGGTAACTACATATTGTGAAAACAGGTCTAAGCATTCTTGTAGTCAAGGTGGAACGCTGTTCTGAATAGTCACCTGTATTCGCGCCTCCGGTAGGCCGATCTTGCCGGCAAGTCTTTCCCTGGCGAATACGTCCGGGTAATGCGTTCTTTCAAACTCCTTCTCGAGCGCGTCGATCTGCTCGTTGCTGAAGCTCGTGCGATTCCTTTGCAGTTTCCTCTTTAGGCGAAGACGCGCCTGATCGTCATCGGCGCCGCCTGACACGCTGCCAGCGTTGCTGTTGTCACCCCCGCTATTCGTCTCGTCCGAGTGCGCGCCACCCTCGAGCTCGGTTACTGTAATAATAAAACGCATCGTGTACTATTATCAACGCCTTTCGCGCGAACGGCTATTACGGGCAATCTCGAGTCTTCTTTTATCGTGTTATATAGTTACGATAATTTTCGTCCTAAGGGCCCTCTTTCACGTATTAACATTCGAGGATAGAGTTAAAGAGATTTATTGTTCGGTTAAACACTAAAAGCAAGCCTTATATCTTTGGAACTTCAAAGTTTGTCTAGGATTTAATGTTGAATATTAAATGTTATATCAAAATCGCTAACATCCGAAGATTAGTCCAAAGGAAAAAAATCCATCTCAAAAAGATTCAAAGAAACTTTTCGCAATCATCAAAAAATTTTCTTTCGAATTGATCAAAAGTTGACTAGTAAAAAAGTCACAAGTCAGTAGATAGTACTTACATAATTTCTGTCGAAATACCGATAAGCATTATCTTCTCCAAATCTCGCGATATTGCTTGGCAAGCTAATGCCTTCTAGAAATCCTTCCCGATAAGGAGAGGGGCGATGTATTATCGATATCAGCGTGCGTGATAACGCGTCGCACGATTTGTGGTTTCGTGGTGCTTGCCCTCCTCCCCCTCCCCCACCCCGAGTTTCTTATATCAATTCCTACGCGGGAAATGCGCTCGCGCGCGTATCTGCGTGTGTACGTGTGCTTGCGTGTACGTATCGGTGTGCGTATGTGAACGAGCGGGCGATATAGGCAGGCGTCGCCGAGTGAACCTTATCGTCGGTTTCTGGGTGAGCGCGTCGAGGCGTCACCGGGCTCGCTACGACGACGAGGCGAGGGGGAAGGACGGTGAGGAGACACACGGGGTAGAGCGAGGAGAGGATGACGAGGGTTGGAGGAAGCTACAGGCAAGGGGGTGCCCGATAAGACGACGGGCGTCCCGACGCCAGTTGCCGGCCACCCCCACGAGATACGCCACTGTCATTCCACGACTACCTCCTCTCCGCCTGGAGAAACTCGAGTCAGAGTCTGGCTCCGATGTGACACGTGACACACTGATGCTGTTATTGGCTGTTATATTCTACGTAATCAATTCTGTTCCGTATATTTTTTTTTATACATATACAGTTGGTGATAAGGAATCATAAAGTGGTTTGTTTTTCTCGTTTTAATTGACTTTAGCGTGTCCTATTTATTTATACCATATTTTATTTATATATTCTATATACATATATGTTATATAATATATATGGAATGATAAAGAAAATCTGCTTTTTATTCATTGACCTATTAGCATACTATTTGTGGACACACTGTTTTATACCATTTTTTAGGATTTAATTTAAATCTTTTTTAAAAATAATCTTGTTAGATTAAAAATATTACTTGAAAAATCAATTAAGAGAAATAAACAATAAAAGCGGTTGAGCATATGCCACACACTAGATCTTGTTAGTGAAATATCATTAATATATTCGTATATAGAATTAAAAGAATTACAATAATTATGTCAGTTACACTTAATCAAAGTATAAACATTGAGGACAATTAAGAGAAATAATTATATTTTTTACTAAAGTAGATCTTGGTGCTTAAAAATATTAATATGCAAATGTTTTGCAAATACTTTTTTCAATTTTATTAATTGTGCGCCGATTCGGTTTGTGGGATTTAAAACGCAATCGCAAACTAAAGCTGAAATATTAATATCTCAAATTAGATTGATCGTCAATTTAATAATGCTAATATAAGCACTTTAAGAGCCTGCAAATAACTTATTGCAAAAAATATCACCTCACTCAACGGGTGAAAATATTTTTCGATAAAAAAAAATGGCTT